TTCTACAGGACAAAAACTTCTAAAGGTGTCTATGTGGCCTGTATGACTAGTGAGATGATTTATTGTCGAGAGGAATACAAGATTATTAACTGGAGGAATACAAGATTACTAGCTGGAGGAATACAAGATTACTAGCTGGAGGAATACAAGATTACTAGCTGGAGGAATACAAGATAACTAGCTGGAGGAATTTAAGATTACTAACCTGAGGACTACAAGATTACTAGCCTGAGGGATACAAGATTACTAGCTGCCGGAATCCCAAATTACTAGGTGGAGGAATACAAGATTACTAGCTGAAGGTGTACAATATCACTAGGTGGAGAAATACAACATTGCTATCTGAAGGAATCCAAGATTACTAGCTGGAGGAATCCAATATTATTTGCTGGAGGAATCCAAGATTACTAGCTGGAGAAATTCAACATTATTAGTTGGATGAATCCAAGATTACTAGCTGGAGGAATCCACGAGTGCTATTTGGAGGAATCCAAGATTACTAGCTGGATGAATTCAAGATTACTAGCTGGTGGAATCCAAGACTTCTAGGTGTAGGAATCTAATATTAATATCTGGAGGAACGCAAGGTTGATTTTGGGAGCAAGGCAAGATTACTCTTTGGAGGACTGCAAGTTTGCTATCTGCTTAAATGCAAGGCTACTACTGTATGGAAGAATGCAAAACTACTTTCTGGAAGAAAGTAGTTTTTCATTCCTTTAGTTTACATCTTGGAAGGAAATAAGTTTACATCCTGGAAGAAAGCAAGATTACTACATAAAGGAATGCAAGCTTACTCTCTGAATACACTATCACTTTGTGTGTAAGAATGAGAATCCTGTCTGATATGAAGTGGACAGATAGATTAATTCCCGTTATAGGAGACAGAAAGCTTCATATTTTACTACTAGGTGAATAGAGGCATCAGGTGAGAGGAAACGTATCCAACCGTTTCTGTTTTGCCCAGGAATTTAATCCGGATCCCCCTGGTTGTGAGTCGAGGACGCAGACCACTGCGCTGCAGAACCCGGAATGAGTTAAAAGGAATAGAGCTTAAGAGGTGTCTTAAGATGACTCAGGTACAGTGAATGAACTTGTGAGGAGAGGAAGTGAATATCATATATTTTAGCGAATGTAAGCGAAGTATAAGGTGTATATAGGAGGAAAGTCGTATACAGACCAGTGTCAAATATATACCGGTGTGAGTCACACACACACACACACACACACACACACACACACACACACACACACACACACACACACACACACACACACACACACACACACACACACACACAGGTGTATGAGCCATACACACAAACAACAGTATACTCGCCTCAGACATCTGGACAAAAGAAACCATTATAGCTTATGGCCGAGCATTAAAGACAAAGAAGATTCAGCTAAGAGAAAGCTTACCTTAAACACGGATGTACAAGCAACTCTGTTTACCCCCACTGTTAAAAACACCCTCGGTTAAAATGTTAAAGTGAACTAACTAGTTCTGTCGTTAATCTTGGGGTATGCTCAGGACTTGAGTGAACTTGCTGGTTAGTCAGTAGGCTATTGTGGTGAACTTTATAACCCTAAGAGGTTGAAAGCTAACTCGTTCTTTGACCCTCGTTCAATAAATATATATAGCCTCTAAGAAAGACATAAAGCAAGAGAGAGAGACATGAGAGATGACGTACAGAAAGAAAGAGAGTAGAAAATATAGGAAAAGATATAAGATAATGCAAGTAGAAGGGAAGAGATTCAAATTAAAATATATATGATAAAAAGGGGCATAGGGAGGATAAAGGAGGACACAGAAAGGCGGATATATTTGATTATAATTAATATATTGTATATAATGATTTAAAGTAAATATTTTGAAATATGTATATTACATATGATATAATGTGTGTGTTACATAGAGTACTAAAAATAACTGAAAATTCTTTAGTACTGATCAATATTCTTTGGCAAGACATTAAATCTTTTACTATAATCATAATCTTTATTCAGAAGAATGTATGTACAAAGAACATAAGAGTAATTTACACTTATAAGGACAGGAATTACACATAGTAATAAAGCCATTGTTACGCAAAGCGTTTCGGACAAAACATAAAATAAATATAACAGAAATACTACAGTTGGTTGTTAATCCCCTTAAGAGCTACTTAGTGTATCGCGGAACCCTTGGTGTATCGTGGAGCCCTTGGTGTATCGCGGAGCCCTTGGTGTATTGCGGAACTCTTGGTGTATCACGGAACTCTTGGTGTATCGCGGAGCCCTTGGTGTATCGCGGAGCCCTTGGTGTATTGCTGAACTCTTGGTGTATTGCGGAGCCCTTGGTGTATCGCGAAGCCCTTGATGTATCGCGGAGCCCTTGGTGTATCACGGAGCCTTTGGTGTATCACGGAGCCCTTGGTGTATCGCGGAACTCTTGGTGTATCACGGAGCCCTTGGTGTATCACGGAGCCCTTGGTGTATCACGGCGCCCTTGGTGTATCACGGCGCCCTTGGTGTATCACGGAGCCCTTGGTGTATCGCGGAGCCGTTGGTGTATTGCGGAACTCTTGGTGTATTGCGGAGCCGCGATGCACCTAATATAAGGGACTGAGGATATACAATATATTGTTATAACAGGAGCTGCTCTTATATGCAGTAATGAGGTTATTCGTGAAAATATTTGAATTTAAAGCTTTTTGACAAACTATCCTTAATCGTTATATATAGACGGGTACATCGGGTGAGCTTTTGAATTAATATTTTGACGAAAATCATGTATTTTCAAGAACAAATATTTGTCCACGTAATTTCTTTCACCTTTATATTTGATATATAATATTATATTATAGTATATATATATAATTTTTTTCAAACCAAATATATTTCGTTTAAAAGTAAGTTTATTTACATGAATTATCGAAACTTGCAATCCGTCCCGAGCAGTCATAACGAAATGACATTTTCAGCCGGAAAAAATCTCACGTCATTCAAATTGCATTAAAAACTTGTTACACTTATTATTAAAAATACTTATATATAAAAACGTGGTGATATACACATTCCTCCATGCATGGTACCACGTGCCCAGACACGGAGAGGCGCCCAGACACATAGCCTAGGAGTCAGCAGTCATGTATCGTTAATTTAATATCCCGCTTCTTACTTTCATGTATAGAATTGGCGAGCGGGAGAAAGTCGAGGACGTAGTTGCGGGTAACTTAAGATTTGGTTGAGATTAGATAAGTGCTATTTCCTCTTATATGGTCAAAAATGGCGATTGAGGCTTTATCAATTTCTATCGTAAATGAAATGGGTCATTAAGCATGATTTAATGTCTCTCTCACTCCTCATCTATCTTCAGGGATGAGTTGTTCTTCGATTATCAATATTATTAACGAATTGTTTACATTTGATTTATAGAGTAGCAAGATGGCGGCTTCATATATTGGCGTTATGTTAATCCAAAAATTAAAATTGTATTTATTGTTGGTATTGCATTAATTGACGTTTATTATAGTATAATAATCATCTAAGTGCAACTTATGCATTGTATTTCATTGCCAATCTCCCCCCCCTCTCTCTCTCTCTTTCTGCATTTTCTCATTATTCCTTCTTCTTTGCCCCGTCTCCTTATCGGCGAATCTCTTTTTCATTGTAACTATAGTCTGAATTAATCTTTACATCGTCCTGGAGAGATAATTAAGACATTGAAGCAAAGATTAATTCAATATTAATCAAGTTTATTTATACGCAAAATTTATATCATTGGAGAATTTCTGAAGATTCTTTAGTTAGTGCAGGTGTTGGTAGGTTAATATGTTAATAATGTGAATAAGATAAGCTCGATAGACTAGTTTACCACCTATAGTTTTATTATTATTATTATTATTATTTTTTTTCTACCAGACGTGGCCACACATTTACAATGCTAACCAGCATATATACATTTTCTTCTGTCCTCCATGGACAGGGTGAGAGATTTGTGAAACATGTTAGCAGTGGTGGAAGGTGAGTGGGAAGTGGGTTGTCAGTGGTGAGAGGTGGGTTAGCAGTAATGGGAGGTGGGTTAGTACTGCAGTGGTGGGTCGGGGGTGGAGGGCGGACAAGCGGACAAGTGACCAATGGTGGAGGGCTGACAGGTGGTGACCTATGGCCTAGGAAATCTGGAGAAAGCCACGTATATAAGTACTAGGGGAAGCAGGACTGTGTTCAGTACTGCAGCGGTCGGCGTTGCTGCACTTTACAATATGGATACACAGGTTTGAACTTCGCTTCTCTGGTGACTCTTAGTATGTAAGCGCACATGTTTAGGGTTATGTGTGTATCGGTACTTGCAGATATTGTTGGGTATGTATTTAGTTCTTGGACCCTACTTTTCTAATAGTTGATTCATTACACTTTCCACACACTGAAGTGCTGCTTCTTCAAAACCCCAATTGACAAAAATTAACCAATCTATCTTCCTAATTTCCCAATCTCCTCCTTTGTTGTCACTCATTCTTAACAGCCTTTCATTGTAGTAATACCTCTAAGTATCTTGTAGGTCTGGATCATGCCTTCCTAGGCTCTCCTCTCGTTAAGCGATGTAAGATTCGGTTTCTTTGATTTGTCTTAATGCCTTAATCATCTCAGTTATGTCACTAACCTCGTAGTGAAAGCCTCCGACATAGTGGTGACCTCAGTAAGGTCACAGCCGAAAGATTTCAAATCCCGCGGTAATAATCCACAGAAGACACCAAGCCGGGGAGACTATGAATCAATTCCCGTTTTCTTTCACCAAATGTTGCTGTTATCTAGCAGTCAATAAGTTCCTGGTGGTTAGACATCTGTTGTGAGTTGCATCGTAGGGAAGTTTAGTAGTTAGCTTATAAATGACCTCAATAAGCCTAATAGGCTTCCTGTCTCAATGGAAAACCATATCTTTATTCAATTCCTTTATCCTCCTTTTGTCTTCTGTTTACCTAACTTACCAGTTCCTGTTTATTGGTGCAGCCGTCCTGTATTGCTACTAAGTCATTATCTTAATGGCTGCAGATTGTGATGCTATTGGAGCTGATGGTAATGACGATGGTGACGACGTTGTCACTGGTCCAGGTCGCTCCTGACGAAGGCTATAGAATCCAGGCCCCAGAAGGTGTCCCATCGCAGTTCTACAGAGATCCTACCGTGCCTCTCCCTCCTCCTCCTGCTGCTGCTGCTGCTGCTTCATCAGACTCAGCTGCACCACCACCAGCTGCAGCTCCCTCCCCACCACAGCTGTACCTTGCACCCCGCCAGCTGGAGCAGCAACTGGCAGCAGCAGAACAGCCTGAGGTGGTGAAACAGACGTCCCGAGATAATGGTAGCCTTGCTCAGGCTCTTGGTTCTCCCCAACCCTCAGTTCAGCTCCTAGCGCAGCCTTCAGTCCTGCCTTCAGTCCTGCCTTCTGTCCTGCCTTCAGTCCTGCCTTCAGAACAACCTTCAATCCAGCCTTCAGTCCTGCCTTCAGAACAACCTTCAATCCAGCCTTCAGTCCTGCCTTCAGAACAACCTTCAATCCAGCCTTCAGTCCTGCCTTCAGAACAACCTTCAATCCAGCCTTCAGTCCTGCCTTCAGAACAACCTTCAGTCCTGCCTTCAGAACAACCTTCAGTCCTGCCTTCAGTCCAGCATTCAGTACAGCGAATAGACCAGCCTACAGCCCAGCCCCCACCGGTGAGTTCCTGCAGTGTCACACAGTCAGCCTCTGCCCCCCGACTGTCAGGTTAACCGATAGATCATCTTGAAATACACCCCTGTTAACTTAGGTGACATACAGTGGGGGCTTGTCTTCTTTAAGAAAAAGAAGACAAGAGAAAACGTTAAACAAAATTAGAAGGTATAGGACTAGGTCAAAGGACGGTATAGGACTGGGGGCTGGGGGTCTGAGGACGGTATAGGACTGGGAGTTGGGGATCTGAGGACGGAGTGAAGAAACGATGCTCAACCACTTGTTCTTAGACCATCGAACACCAACCCTGCAAGTAGTATGCTTGTCGCTGTGGCGACTAATTTAAGTGGCCAGACTGGTCAGTGCCGTGACAACTACGCTTCTTTTTAGCGTTGGTGTTTGATCCCCGGTAGTTCAAGTGGTTCAAGAACAGTTCGTTTACTCTGTCCTCATATACCATCCCTTAGTCTGTCCTCATCTCTCTGCCAGGTGCTACACAGACTTAGCGCGTTCTTCTGACATTAGCGAAACCAATTGTGTGCCAATTGGTTCACTAATACAACTTTAACAATACAACCATAAGCCAGGAGGAGTTATGGTTATATTGCTAAAGCTCGTGTCGAAGAGAAAGACAATCAAAATTCCTCCTCTGTGTAGATTTGTAATAATCCTTGAACAATATCCGAACGACCATTGTAATATATTGTGTTCCCACAGCCGCCGGCGATGGGGATGCCTTATGAGTTCGAATGGTCGGTAGAGGACTCTGAGAGCAGCAACAGGTACAGCCACCGGGAAAGGTCGGACGGACTGGTGACGAGCGGGGAGTACACCGTTCTCCTGCCCGACGGTCGCGTCCAGACCGTCACCTTCGTCGACCGCGGCCGTGGCTACGAGGCTCATGTCGCGTATCAGCAGGACTCCACCACCTAGCTCCTCACGTTCACAGTCTTAAGACATTCTCGAGCATAGCTGTGTAGAGCTTAGGATTTATTAATGGTTGGGAGGCTTATAGATGTGTAGGATATTTCAGTTGTATTGCGCCTACAGTACCTGGGACCAGGAGGACTATGAACTACAGTAGTTCCGTTTTTTCTGTATTCAGGTTTGTGTACAGTCTTTGTCTACGTTGAGCGAGTCCAGTCAAGATTCCGAGCAGCATTTCTAATCAATCTCCTCACGTCTCCTAAGAACTGAACTCCCTATATAACTACACATCTTCCTCCTCATATAGCATTACTCTTTCAGCAATATTCACTTACGTCATATTGTGTCGCTGCCTTTTAACCATATTCCCATAATTTGGCATTTTCCATAACTTTTTGATAGTGTATTTGATATCCGCTTCGTGTTTGGTGCGCTAAGAGGGGCAAGAGCGTATAGAAGTTTGAGTAAAATGAAAAGTAAAACCTAAGCCTAGAATAAAACTGAAACAGAGCAAAAAAAATACTTTAAAGCTAAAATCAGTTATGAATGGCATGTTCCACTGGAACAGTTAAGTTAATGGATTGCAGAGAGCTACGTATGCAAAATCTTTTGAATATAACTTTTATATCTGCCTAAACAATTTGTACGATCAATAACGGATTAATTTTTGACGAATTAGTATTTGGTGTTCCATACCAAACTGGTTTGCTGAACGAGAAAAATACATACATTTTTAAACAACTCATTTGCTCACTCACCTCGCAGGTGATGCATATAAATGAGGTAAGGTAATTAGTTGAAAGTGCTAAACCAGTATGATTATATAGACATATTGATGAGGTTTACATGTATTATAGTCCTTTATATCAATTACTAATGCGTACACAATAATTCTAGTAGTCACCGCTGGCGGTAACAAATTAATTAACACTGGCTGCTGAAATATTGTCAGTACGGTCGTTAGTATTTACAATTCTAGCGTCAATTCATTGAGGAAATATATAGTATTGTGCAATAGTCTTACCTCTGTCAAAATAGACTTTCGGCCTATTATATGGCCTGACGGCTTAGTGGACAACGCTCCATGTTCGTAGTCCTAAGGGTCTGGGTTCGAGCCCCGGCGGAGGCGGGAACAAATGGGTAGATGCTCCTATTCACCTAGCAGTAAATAGGTACCTGGGAGCTAGCAAATAATTATCAAAAGGCACCAAACCGGGAAGGCTATGTAGCACCTACCTGGGAGCTAGACAGCTGCTACGGGCTGCTTTCTGTGGATGTCTGTGTGTGAAAATTAGAACATGTATCAGAGCCGCTCTCCTCTAGGTGCCACAGAATATCACCTTCCACCCAACATGGGACTGTGGCGTCAGCCTGACCTCCGGCCCAAAGTGTGCAGATTCTCTTACATATTACCTGTTACCACTCGGTAATTTATCGAGAATATATATATTGTTGATTGTTACCGTGTATTTCATTGTCCCATCTGTCTGGTTATACTAAGAGTTATTAGGCAACCTAAGCCCACAAAACCACACACACTCCATTCATATGTAACTCCACCCACATTAGAGATTAATAGTTTGCCGTTACTGGTATGCTGCTTGTAGGGACTTGTGTGTGTATGTGCTACCCACGTAGTGAAGGCAGTGTTGAAAATGAACTGATATGAATGGTCATAATGTGAACATTTCAAGTAGCAAAGGGAAAAAAGAATAACATTTATGCAGTTTTTGCCAAGTGAGCAAAAACTAACACATGTATCATTCTGAATATAGAGAAGTGTTCAGAAATGAGAGAACAGGTCCTAAACAGTTCGGAGTTTAAAGAAGAGATATAGTTTGCAGGCATTTCACAAAGTGGCCAAGAGTTAAGTCTACTTGCCAATACATAACCTAATGTCTCCTATTTCCAAACTCTGATGATAGGAGGAAGGCCACGGTAGTAGGTCACATTTGATTGCACATACTGTACTGTAATTTTTATTGTCAATACAGATCACATCATGAATAAAAAGGTAAAAATCAGAGTATGGAGTTCGCTTTTGAAGGATGAGACAGGTATAAAAAGCTTTAGCAGTGGTGCTGCTAGATCACAAGATGAGAAGAGCTAAGAGACATTAAGAGCCATTAAAGCACTCCAAGAACCAACAGTGATAGAAAATGAAGAGATCTCAAGAGCAAATAAAGTAAGTAAGTAAATATCAAAAGAAGGCACCAAACCGGGAAGGCTATCAAGAGCAAATGAAGTTCAGCTGTAAAACTTCTCATCTTGAGGGAAAGGCAGCACATAAAAGTTGTATCAGGAAAAAATAATTTTACATCACCACCAGATTTTTAAGTGTCCATAAAAAGAGCAGCAATGTGAACATTGGTGGTAATAATATTCAGAAAAGATACTGTACTTCAAAAGAGTGGGGAGGGGGGGGGGGGGGGGTAAAAGTCTTCACTATACAAGTTCGGGTTTTACGATGGTCAGGACTTTCCACAGATAAGGTAGGCACAAGACATACACATTGCAAATATTCATAGAAAAAGATTCTAGGAAACATGTTATTCTCACATCAAAATATTGCAAAAAAGTGCATGTGAAATTCAGACCAGGTGTATTAGTTAAAATGTGATACCTGTACAAGCCCAAACCGTGGCACTAAATTAAGTATACAAAATAATACTGATTGTGACAGTCTTGTAATGACAGAACACCAGTTTTAACGTACATATAAATGATGGGCTGGGAATGGAGAAAATGTGCCTAATTCAATATTTAAAAACTTTCTCTATTTACATACTGACTACTAGAGTGGGTACCCATATCTTTGACAATTTCTCTCTTCCCCCCATTCTCTTTCCCTCCTATCCTTCCTCCCCCTCTCTCGCTTCCATTCCTGGCAAAATTTGATGAGGATCATTTTCTATCACCCTAAGCATCTGACTGCCAACTTTAAACACACCCGCACATTCTCCTATAGATAGAGTTTTGTTAAGCATATATAGTCACAAAACACTATCAGTAACATAAGTAATTATAAAGAAGAAAGCGATATATACCACAAAACTAAATATCTTTCAGGACATTAAAAAACTAATTAAAAGGAAACTACATATATTTGCAGCAGGTTCTTTGTACTGAGTGCTTCAGTATTTTACAACAAAGGTAATACAATATGAAGTCTTTGTATATTCGTGTTGAATAAAAGCTGAACATATACCAGAGGAACCTGTTCTTCATGGAAAAATATCTATAATATTTAAAACATTTACAAATCAATTGCTTTATACATTTTGCTAATATGTAGTGCAATAATCATAGCACTATGTATAACTAAAGCTAATCTAAGTAAGGCTGAGATTAACATTCACATTCCGTGATGGCACGATGCAGTACAGTGTACAAGAGCGTCACATCAGAGAAATGTGTTGCTTAGTGGTAATTATCTGTACATTTAGACTCTTACAGGGGATGAGCACATGGGTTTTGGCTCCTAAGTTAACAAATATGTATTAATATGTATATACAATATATACCTTACATCTTACTTTGAACAATATCCACACATTACCTGAAGGAATTTGAATGATTCCTTACATGTAATTTATAACATATATTTCAATATCTTGATGAATTCATATATAAAAAAATACTTAAATAGAAGTACATAAAAGGGAAACCTTGTTGTATTTATAAAGCCAAGATAAGGCATATTAAAATATTGTATTAAATATTTCTATTAAACTGCAATCATCTTAATTAAACAAAAATCCAGATTTCATGACCCACACAGAGGAAACTACCTAGGCCTGTAAAAAAAAAAAAAAGGCACCTTTTCCTCAACCAATTCCAAGCACATATTTACTTATTATTATCAGAGATCATTAAGTCTTGTTGACTAAAATCATAAAAAACATCAATTATTGTCATCCAAACACCAGTCCATCCCGGGGTCTCTTTGACTGTAACCCTTGCCAGTCCTCGGCCCATTCAACCATCTAAACATTGCCGCTTCTGGTTTATTCACTCCAAAATACTCTCAATTATTAAGAGAGCAGGCTAATACAAGTGGTTCACTGAAGCATGTCAACAAATTAAGAGCTAATGCAATATTTCAGCTTGAGTTTCAATTCAAAACATAAATAGAAAGAAAAACTAATTCCAACAAAACACTGTAAATAGCAAAGTAAAAAGCAAAATGTTTTAACAGTAAGATAAGGTTACTGGATTCGCCTCATTAAAGTGCACAATGTGCTCAAGGCCAATTACTAACAAATGCCGATATAACAAAGAACAGCAAAGCACAATGAAATCACAGGAATGATGTATTTAAATATACATTGAGCTCATGTGATGGATTTGAACTCACATCTCTGCGCTCCCCCAAGCACATACATTACTGGCTGAACCTTGATGAGCTCAAATGTATCGAAACCAGAAGTACTACCAGACTTACCTGGAGTTTGGAAGGCACCATCTGGTACCATCCTGGTTGGGTTACTTTGAAGCACATCATAGTTTAGTTGGCAGTGCATGTACTTTGGAAGTTCAGGAATGCAAATTCGATCACATTGCATACTGAAGTCTCAATATTTCTGTTTAACAGAGCAAACAAAACCTTCAATGTAAAATGAAGGTAAAGGTCTCAATTCACTTTTGTACACGCAATAAGTTGGATACCTACATGCATTAGTTGTTTCTTGTTAAGAGTTTTTTACACCTTCTCTACTGAACTTAACTTGAGGTAAATTTATAAAACAAATGTCTCATGCATAGTAAGAAATTGAAAGTTAACAATTTAAACATGAGACTAGTTAAGATAGAGTATTCCCATGAAAATAAATTTTGAACTTCTGGCTAATGCATGAACTTTCTTGAGAAATACAGAGAGAGAACTATGCAGGACAATGTATAAGGTGTGTTGAAGAGACAGTGAATCGCCACAATTTGGGTGCTGGTAAACGTGAGAAACTGCAAACTGATGCAGAGAGTTATGATGCTGCTTAACCTAAACTCGG